ACTTAAGGATTTCAAGGATTTTAAGCAGCCTGTGAGTGTCTTTACTGCAAATAGTCATGTGAAAATGTGCAGTAATTAGGTATCCTGGGGACGTTCTAGCTCTTAACAAGCATGCAATGGTTGATAGATATTCAAGTAACTTCAAGAATATGGCATCTTAACCGACATTGATAGTTATGGTTTAGGAACTCCTTGATAACGAAGTTTGTTTTCACGGTATCAAACAGCTTCAGGAGAAGTTTCTGCTGTCCACGACTATCTGCCAGCTCAATCCTGAAGGAATTTGCTGCGATTTCTGAGATAAATGAATTTCTATGAACGACTTATCCCGAAGTGTGTGACAATATAACAGCCTCTAACGAACGCTTTGCCAAAGCATTTTCGAACATTTCACCTGTGAGTAGTGGCTTATATATGATTTGAGAACGTTAGACAATCGCCAAACATAAATTCGGTTTACTTTGATCAGATAGAAATTCCGCCTTATCCATCACACTCGAGGTACCGAACATAGCACTAAGGGCCGTATTGCAGCAGAGAGTAAATGACCACGTTCATTTTTCTCATAGATGTTGGATCCTACTCAGTTGATATACAGTATGTTCAGAAGAAAATTGCTAGAAATTTACGTAGCAGTAAAATTCATCTCTCTTCCAATTTGTGATTTTAGATATTATTCTTATGGCCATATGTGGTGTTTGAATGAACTAATGATAACTTTGTACTCTTTGAATGTTTGATTTCGAATTCCAAATACAGTACATTCGTTCGTGCTTGTCTAGTACTTCTTGATTCGATGACGTTATTTCTCTGATTCTCAGTTCACACTATAATTCAAATACTTTTAAACATCACATTGGCGTTGCGATGGAGCTGTGATGGAATTTTCGGATATACATTCAGACCTTGAAGCTTTTGAGGATTACTTTGAAAGGTTCGAAATTTGGGCTATGACCGTGAAGGTTGATGAGGATGTTAATATTGTAGCACATTTCCTCACATTCATCGAAACATAAGCATATAGCTTATTAAAAACTCTGGCTTTACCGGAAAAGCCCATTTCGCTTCCAACTCTCAAGGAACTACTGCTTGACTATGTTAAGTATACAAATTTCGAATGCGGTAAAAGGAGATTTCGTAGAATGATTCATGAGGGTATAAAAAATTCCACTACATTACGTCACCCCATTCCAGTGCATACTGAAGGTTATGTAAATAATTCATTGAGGAGTTGCGATGCAGTTCCCGAAGATGGGCACAAGTTTGGTCAATGTTTGTCCTGTGGCAAGTTCCATTCTTTTAATTCATGTAAATTTCCTAATTCTGTGTGCTTTATATGTGGTGATATTGCACATATTCAGTCAGAGTGTAATACTACTGTTCATCTTGCAGCAACGAACAATAAGTCTTTTAATTCTGATTCTATTAAGTCCAGTGTTCCTAATGATCATTTATCTTTATCAACGATTTCAAAAGACAGTGTACAGTCATATAGCAGTTCAGAGTTAAATGAAACTCAGAATTCTTGCGAGACAGCAGTTTCTAACCGATTGATTTATCAGATTTCTTATCTTATTGTACGAAATATAGCTTTTCCTAATGATTCACATATTTCTGATGAAATTCCTTGCAAATATGAAGAAAATATGTTGAGTGAATATAATTATGATCGAAAACCTGATATAGTTTAAGTAGATGCTAATTTTTCTAATGATCCATTACTCTGCAATGACATTCTTTATAAATTTCATGAAAATATTTCAGAAGAATCAAAGCCTGATGTCATATCATATATTACCTATCCTCATAATGCATTTGCTCCTTGTGAAAAACTTGTTCAATGCGAAGCACGAGTACTAAATAACCTCGATTTTGATTACAATTCGGATGATTTCATATCAACTGTTGTTTATCCTTATCATAAAGTTACTCCCAATGTATACTCTGGTCAACGTGAGAAATATGTTTCAAATGAAGCCACATCATTCATAAATTGGGGATATGAAGATCCAACATTATTTCGTGGGAGAGCATAGTCTAAAGTTTATGGTTCAAATTCTAGATAGCAGCGGTTTCAGTACACGACCGATATACTGATTACACAATCCTAGGATGCAGATAATACAGAGTCCTTATCCACTACACTATCCGACAGACACAGAATGAACTTTAGAAGATGTACAATTGATTACAGGTAATTTTACTCTTATTTAGGCTGTGGTGGATGTGGTGTTTGAATGAACTAATGATAACTTTTTACTTGTTAAATGCTTGTTTTTGAATTCCAAATACAGAAGATTCGTTCGTGCTTATCTAGTATTTTTTCATCCAGTTACGTTATTTCTGGGATTCTTAGTTCATACTATAATTCAAATACTCCTGAATATTACACTATAACAATGTTTTCCTTTTCATTCGCCCTGCAGTTGAAGTTCTACACTCTCGATTTCTATGACTTTTTAAAGCTTTAACTAATAGTAGGAATCAGCTTTAAATGGTCCTAGATGTTCATCGGGGATAGCTGTTCCTGTGATGGGAATGAGTTTGATTTCAGATAATGTCTTACGTTGAGCACGTCTTTTAGGTAACGACATGAAGTGCATGAAATTGTTCGTTTAGTCGGCAACTGTAACTAGAATTGAAAGGTTACAATCTGACAAAATTTACAGCTTTTATACTCTCAGATGTTGAACAGAAACATGGACAGGTTAATTCAAATTATCTAGCAAATAGTCTTTTAGTGTACAAAATAATGCTCCAATGATCGAATTGCCAGGTGCCACATTTAATCGATGGGTAGAAGACTAGTTACTACTGAATAAACAAGAGTGATCAAGCACGTTCCAATCAAATGTTCGCTTTCATAAACAAAACAATGCCATTTTCGTGAAGGCGATGCACAAACCATGAAACCGCAACTATGGGAATGAGACATTGGGTACCTAGATATGTCATGAGGAACAATTGGTCATAAACAAAGCAGTCATCGGAATGCGTTGTATTACGGACGAGGAATGTGTCCGGACCGGCAACAAAGAGACCGATAAATGCTCGTTATAAAGCCACACACAAATAAATTTGAATGTTACAATGTTGTTTTGCTTAGTTCGTGGTGTTGTACTTAGGAACAGATCGCTACTGGTGCTTAAATAGTATTGCAAACATTTTATAGCAAGTTTACGTTAACTGGTTTCATACTTTTGCATAAGATCAGTTTTGTACTTAATAATATGAATTTCAAATGATCGGTAGTTTTATCATCGACCAACATTTGTTAGTTATCCATCCATATCAGACAGTTGTTCCATAAGCAGAATTTAATTTATCATGATAAATAATTGTAATAAATGTGAAATGATATAGTAAGCACATCAAAACCTACATATTAATATTCCACCTAGTGGTCGATTTCAGTTTATCAAGGTATTAGGACGACTCTGCCTGAAGCCCTTCGTTGGTTACTGGAGATCCAAAACTCGGATAAAGTATAATCGTTATTCATGCGGTTACCAACTCCATCCCTGAGAAACCGACGTTTTCAAAAATTGATGACCAGAAAATATCGTTCGCACAATAATAATTCAGCCTTGTGAGTCATCCAAGGTCTTCTTCGGGAAGAATGATGATTCGTCATGGTGAAAGCCGAGATATTCTGGAAGTCTAGAGATTTACGTCCCAGGTGTTGCTGAAATGCAAACAATCAACATGACAGTTCTCGTAACAAGTGAGGCCTATTGAATGCATACTGTACAATGAAAGATTAGGATCGTGAAATATGCTATTTTAATCTAGTCATGTGTGGAAAGTAAACAATACGTTAAGCTCTGTCATTACTGACACTTGTGTGTTCGCATATACGCTATTATATTTTTGCATTCATCGATATGCATTATTTTTTGTCATAATAAACATGATCATGTTGATTCTGAATTAAAGTAGTAATCTTTATAGTCTTTGTTACTGAGCATTCTCAAAGCATTCATACTCAAAACAATTCACATAATAGTTATTTACGTGTTCTTCCACCTTGAAATGTTTGCTAAACCTGCTCGTACAAAGAACATCACTCGTCAAGTGAAGCTAGGCCACGTTGGAAAACCTGGAAAAACTGGATGTCTGGTTCATCGTACTGTGAGAATCCTCAGCATTGTGAATCCACGACGCTGCCTCGCGAGATTTTAACCCACGTCTCGCACGCGAACGATTCACTTTCAGACTACTGAGACGGCCGGTATCAAACGGTGTCAATATTTAATTTCAACTAATCCATTAAATTGAGTGACATATTCATCACTGTCTTCATTGAGTTAACATCTCACAACAAACCCGTTTGAGATCAATTGATCGATGCTTCTCACTAGAACTCCGAGAAATACCTCTTGAAGCCAGTCACTAGTGAGCATATTTCCATTATGGATATTTTAGCAATTTCATTAGTTGAGAATAAGAGTCAGTGATCCAGAGATTAAGCGTTTGCGAGCGAGGTCGATGGGACCTGAGTTCGAGATGGTGGATGTGGAGTGCTGATGAACTCCACAATAGGACAAAATAGCCCACCAGAACTTATTTTACTGGGTTTGTTAAAACACTGCACCATCGATAACCATTTCGCAGATTATTACAACCAACAAAATGTTTGTTCGTGAAGACATGAGCACACATTTTGAACTACAAATAATCCAATCACTTGGTTTAAAGTGTAGCTTATTATATCGAGAATAATTTTCATCACTACGGGTCAGCAATTTCAACCAACGATGGATGAATCTCAGCCTATATATCACAAAAGCTAGAAAAATAATGCATAGCGATGAATTCATCCACCATAATGATTGGCTAACAATGATCATATGATTTTATGAAATTAATGGCCAACTTGAATCATCAAATCAGACAAAAGCAAACAAACACTTCAAAAATCTATATAAGCACAACATGTTCCAGCAACAATTATTAACATTTTGAACGAGATGAGGTGAGTGTTTTGACCGTGCAGTTAAAACAAATGAGTGCATTATATGAATCTCAATTTAACCCGATGAGATAACGTTGTTTTGTTTATCTGAACCATTTCAGACAAACCTTTTCATCTGTCCAGTTGATACCGATCTATTCGGTTATCGTATTGATTTCAACATTTTTCGACTGCTATAACATTTGTGAAGACTCTAGACCAAATTCGTATAATGTAATAGTTTCTGAGGATGATACACATAAATATGTATGCATTTAGTCAAGTTATAATATACATATTCAGACTAAATTTTCCACCTATATGCAGAAAATCCGCGTCGATCAGCCTCCTCCATATCTTCCAGAGAGGTTTAAGCATTTAGACACTGATCAAGTGAGTTACTACAGTTTACAACGAAGGTACTAATCCATTTGTTTGCATATTTTCAGGAAATCGATCCAAGATTCCGGTTTAAATTTAACAATAATAGCGTCAAGAAATTTCGTGTAAAATTTACAGGTAAGAGAATCCTTTTCATTGGACTAAAATTATTACTGAGGTTTGATTATAAACACTTCATTCCTTGAATCAAAGTTTTCTGAATTTCTTCAGTAAATCAGTTTTATGTTTCTTGTAACATTCGGAACTGCCGAAATTTTGTTTCGTTCAAGTTGTAAATAGTTTGACGCCTTATGGCAAGCTAATTACGATTTATGCAATTCATTTCAGTCTCTAAATGGTTTCAATGTCTTTCATCCATTCACTGTAGATTATGAATCAAATTTCCTGTTTTCATTCGATAAACACAGGTGCAATAGACTTGTTGGGACCACATTACTTAGGAACAATTAGAACATTTCTAAACGGCCGGTATTGGTCTGAATCTGAGATTTTGAATGAGGGTGAGTTTTTCTATTATCCAGTAATATTTTGTTTTGCGTTTTTATTTCCTACTTATACTTTGCATAAATGATTCATTAGTTAACTTGACTATTATATGAGAGGTGATCGATGCGTAGTGATTATTTGGTTTGTGTGATTTGATACCTTAAAATGTGTTCACAACACATATACATTACTGTGCAGTGAAAATGGTAAATTAAACAACGTTTCACTTCAAAGCAAACTCAAATTGATTGCGTAGAAATAATAAGTTGAATGATGCAACTGGTTAGGTGAAAATTACTTACACTCCAGTCTGTTTAAGCCACCATTAATCAGATATCTCATCAATACGACACTTATTGGTGGATTTAATGAGTCAAACTGATCACGGGTGCAACAATTAGTGATGTTGTGCGAGATTCATAAACTTTCAACGTCTCTTAGTCACTGTTGGTGGGTCATTGTATATTCAACACCTTCTTGATTATCATATTCGTAGGATCCTGAAATTTGAACTCATTATCTTCCCTAAACATCTAATAAGCAAACTACCATGAACATTCCGCTAGCACAACATAATTTATTCGAATTAGAATGCCTTGAACATCAAAATGAAGTTCATTCATTTTGTTCACTTATCGGAATTATTAACATTGTAGTAGCATTTTCGCGTAACCATTAATTCAGTTGATGGAACACTGTTCGATCGGAATAACAGAATCTCAGAAAATGATTTTGTATGTGTATTGTCTAACAGATACCCACGGTTTATTAGTTAGCCAAATGCTTTTAAAACCAACGTTTCAGAAAATATTCTTCTCAGTTGACTGGATTGGAACGTTCATCATATCGTTAAAATGATTATAAGGATCCTTAAAACTCCCACTTAATTAAACCAGTTCAGTCTTGGAAAGAAGATAATAACTCGTGTCCAAACAAAGTTTGTGTTGTAATGTATGTTCATGTAAGGAAGCTGATATTCATTATACAGACATATGAACACATATTTTTACTTTGATCATTTCAGAGGAATTGTTAGCCGTCAGAACGTCTTATTATCGAGGAGTTCATGACGAAAGTATGTATCCATAAGATGATTGTTTGATAAAATTTGAAATACTAAAACATATACACCATCATTCATTGTAATCACTCCCACTTTTTCTGCTCAGTTTGTGTAATTGAATTCTTTTCAAAAACGGACAGAAGTAATAAAGTTTAACCTTCCTGAAACTTATTGAGGAATTATATGTGAAATCCACTGGTCGTTTGAACAAATTATTTGAGACTTGAAGAACAGTTGGCATTATCTCGAGCATACTAGATTTGTCGAGTAATAAATAGACCACTATTGATAAATTCGGTCATAATCTCATTTCACTTGTGGATAAATGAATGCAGAGATTCATCTTCGTTGACAGGCTTAAACGAAACATGATGGAAAGTTTGTTTTAAAAATAAGCACATTTGTGTTCATCGCACAGTCGTTTCTGTAAACATTACGTTCATTTATGCATCCACCCATTACACGGCCATTCTTAGATATCATTCTTTCAAATTAAGACGTCTTGAAGACGACATTTATTAAGCTATTCACTTTTCATCTTTAACAAATATTGTGGTCAGAGTCATTTGATCGACTGATATACCAGTGCGTTACATAACCAAATAAAAAACAAAACTCCAATTGTAAACTGTAAATACACAGTTCATATCATTTGCCCACATAGTAGAATGTATCCGGTCAATGTGAATACCACTCCAACTGTCAGATCTTATTAGAATCCTAATGATTTATGGTTTCAATATGAAAATGGGAGTGTAATAAAGACTCGAAAACTGAACATCTGACATTCATTTTGTAGCATGATGCTTGCTTCATTTACACGACGTTCAGTAGATTATATTTGTTACGAATTCAACTAATAACAGACATTTGTAACAGCACAGTAAATACCAGCTTATATCTCGGCACTTTGTCAGTAGGCACATACAGTATAACATCTAACAATGACATGATCACCACTAACCCTTAAAATTCTAAATATCGACAATCTTCTGTTTACAGATCAGCCATTCAAAGTAATCACTGTGATACATTCGAATGGGAAGATATCTATCTTTTATGATGAAGTAAGTTGCAAAATTGAACGGGAATATATTATTGTTTAAAGTGCTTTAGATTATTCTCATATTTCGTGCATGTCCATAGTGTCGAACGCATCAAGATACATTGAACACGATAGAAGGACACCAAAATTTTGCAATGTCAACACAGACTATATGAAAATATCAATAATCCCTGAATGACACACTTTATCCTAGCATACATTTTAAAGCAGGTAACTATAGATAGTGAAACGTTATCAATGGAATTTCTAATGTGTTCGCGCCGATTGGGGACAAACAGTGAATGTTAGGGCTCCCTACAGGAAAAGTGATATTCTGTCACGATTTACAACGTCTTCTGAAGTTCAGATGTTCGAAAAGACGACTTTTAAATATTGTGGTTTATTAATTGTTAAAATGTTGATCGTGTAGTTGTTCGACTTTCAGTATTCAGTACTTTGTAAATTTAGAATACAATAGATGTTGGATAACTAGTAAGGGAAGGCTACATAACAGATTTCATGTATGTTGAAGTGAATCGGTTTTGATTGTTTCGAGGTAATCTGCGCACATTATGGAAAGAATTTGCATCGGGAACGAACGGCAATGGATGGAAGTGAGCACATGAACACAATTCCACAACATGACAAGAAATTCACGTGCAGCGAAATTGCAGTGATTTACAGTCACATTTTTGTCAACGGACGTAAATTGTTATCTCAAAATGTGTCATCTCATGCCATGATTGATAGATCGTTCATCTAACTTGACAGAAGTTGACAACTGAAGTGAGTCGGAATATCTCTGTAGACCAGATGCAGCATAGCTCAAAGAGAACTGAGAAGATCAGTATGCCCACTGTGAGTGTGATCAGTTGTCATTGTGCAAGATAATGTGAATGACGACACGTTACTTCAATGGTTAGTCGGTTTTGATATCTGTGGTTTGCTGTTGATGAATATTGACTATGACTTCCATTATTTCTTTTCAGATTCCTCAGGATTTGGGGAAATATAAAATTGAATCGATCATTGAAGGTGCAACTGTTTGCAAAAGAGGTGGTAAAAAATGTAATTTATATTCTGATATTCAATGATTTACATAACCGATCATTTGTTAGACTAACGTTGCTTCTATTTGTACCCTATTATGAGTATGTGAAAACAGGGATTTGCTGTGGTCTATCAGCGTGAGCAAATATTTCTTCCTCAGAGTCTACATTAACCAGCTGTTTCGTGTCTAAAGTAACTGGATCGAGATGTCATTGGAGTGTTGATGAGAATGGTGTGAAATAAGATCGGAATGGATTTCGAAAACGCACCGTCCAAACTTTATTGTTAATTGAAAATTCATTATCTATTAAGCGTTTACATATCCTGATGCGAAATTGTATTATAACATGTGATAAACAGTCACAGTGGAGAATCCCTGATACTTTTGATCAAGCATATCGAACAGTGGACCACTGATATTATCTGAATTATAATCAATGTGTCTGTATCTCCACGTAAACAAACGTCATCTTTGTTACAATCGCAAAGCAAATTTGAGTTTTTTTGATGAATTCTCAATGGTGTTGTGGCAGTTTTCTATGTTGAATTGCATCATTATTGAATTTGAAAAGCACGTCTGCTGACGCTTGCTCGCCTAGTATATCGAGTAATATGACTAAGAAATGTAAAAGTCTCTATTGCAAAAGTGCGGATGGATATTTGGTGAAGCCTTACATATGTATGTTTAACGACTGACTGATATAAACACAATGTATGAACTAGGATACTAGGCAGACGATACATCAATTGTTTTATTTTTATTCACCCACTACTCGATCAACCATACTTGCAGTCGTTATTCATATCGCTCCTCAACGCAAAAAGAAGTGTATTTAGTCAAATAGAACCAATAGTTGTTTTATCAAGTGCTCAATCGTCATGCTACATTGGCATGACCGTATGTTCTTGAAAGATGTTGCTGGGTTTCAACACAATCATTAAGTGTAGACGATTAGGCTGGATGTAGTGTTTAATGATTGAATTTCAGAAAATGCATTGAATATTTGGTCAAAGTGTACATGATGATTGGTCCAAATGAATTTCTGAGTCTGTTCACAACAAATCTCATTGTTGACTATTTGTGACGAGTGAAAAATATTCTTTCAAAGATGTTAGACAGTCACCCTTGACAAACAAATCAGAAATTTAACGATACCATTTTTCATTTACTGGTTGCATACTGATCACTTTCAGAACTAAGAGTGATGTCAAACATATTTTGTGAGGATACTGTCTAGCCTCCATTTTATCCGTAATCAGATATTAAGCAGTTTCTTATTTTGAACGCTCCTTAGACAAGCAAATTACTTGATATATTTAAAATGGAAATCGCAATTTCAAGTGTCTTCTTTTGTACAATTTATTAAACTAGATAAGAAAACTTTCAAAATAAATGTTCCTGAAAAATGGATCAAATCTGGCACGTTAGTAGAGTATGAATAGCCTCTAGAAAAAAAAAATTAGTGTATGATATTGTGAGACGTCTTACCACTTGTTTTCATCATACTGAATTCGTTATTTTTATTTTACTTAAAACACTTTCTGTTTTGTTAATAATTTCAATAAATTGCGAAGTTCTCCATGGAAGTACACACCATTTTCATGTTTTTGTCGATAAAATATAAAATATAGTTTTTAAAATGTACGTGAGTGTTTTTGCCCAATAAAAGCTGAATATGAAATGGGTTTTTTTTAGATATTATAGTAATTTCAACGGTTAAGATCACGAGTCAGTTGGAGCTGGACCAACATGGAAAGCCTGGAGGCACTGAACGGCCGTTTCGTCCTGTCGTGTGACTTTTCAGCAGTGCGCATCCACGACCCCGCCTCCTGCTGAAGAGTTCCACGACAGGACGAAACGGCCGTCCAGTGCTTCCAGGTATTTCATGGTAATCTATCTCCAATTGACTCATGATCTTAACCATTGGAAAAGCTGAATAGTTTTACAAAAATCAACAACATTGTACTTGTGAAATAACATCATCGTGTATATGTGATTTTGTAACAATTGCAATCAACAATGAGTCCGTTGTGAATATCCGTTTTGATGAAGTCTCACTACTGAAAAATATCATTTGAATTTGACAGCGTTCATTGGTTTAAGCTGAACTGTTGGAATACGTCATAAGTATTTAATAAGACACCTCAATCGTTTGTTATTTGATTATTCACTGTTTCGTGAAAGTTTGATTACAGACTATTGTTAATTGGCTGTTATGAATGCTGATTATAAAATAATTGTGAAGATCTCAGCTGATGCACAAGTAGCAATGAAAAGTGGTGTAGATTAAATCAATTAGTTACAGTCCTGCCGTAGTACTGCTAGATAGGATGACAGATTTGAAAAAAAATACACTGTGGTGTTGGCACTAATGTTTGATTACTTTATTATACAAACGTTGGTTAATAAATTGTCCTGTTCTCATGGGAATATGAGAAAGGATTCTCAAAGATTCATTTACATTGATCGTTGGAGTGTTCTTGCTGATGTTCAGGGCTGAAATTTGATCGGTCTTTTCACGCTCAATGTGCATCGCGTGCGAGTTGCCTCACTATTGCCAATAAGTCACAAATAATGTGAGCAAAGATGAATGGTGGCCATCAGTAAAGTCCAAGACACGTGTCACTTTGTATCATCTGGATCCTGTCAGTTGATTGTACTTGCATCACAGAGTTGATGTGTCGTTGCGGCACTCTGACTCATTATTGCCTACTTTAAACATCGTCACGTCATCTCGTTGGTTACTCAGTATGGACACTCACTGGATTCTTTAAACAGCTTCAATACACCATGTTAAGAAGAGCACAGATTTGGTAAATGATAGTCCTGTCGCAAACTGCGTGCTCAGAAATCACATCTTTTTCGTCATCCTTGAGGCTTGACTTTTGACATTATGTTGGTATTCTGGGCTACTGTTCATTTTGATAATAATTATACCAAACCCCATTGATAAATCTTAATAAGATTGGAGCTTTTGACGATCATATTTATTTTCATCTACGAATTGAAAGATATTTTCTACATTTGAAATAGATTATATATGAAATTTGATTCGTTCCGTAATTTCATTGTTGACACCGGCAGAATATAGTCCACTGATTTAATCGAATCTTTGTCTTCGGAAAGGCACTATCTACCCTTGACGTTGTGTGACTCACTATTATGAAGAGAACGTGATTGGTATGGTGGAAGCAATCACTATTATAACCCATTGTACCAGTGATTGTTTTGCTGTACCTGTTTGTTTAAGTGTAATAAAAACACACGTTTTTGGTGGTGTTTTGTTCTCTGAGCTGGATAGTTTAGTCGTGGAGCTTTCATCGTTCTTCTGAACGACATCATCAGCACAAACTTCAGATAGAAGTTTGTGCTGATGATGTCGTTCAGAAGAACGATGAAAGCTCCACGACTAAACTATCCAGCTCAGAGAACAAAACACCACCAAAATCATCCACCTGAGCTACAAATCTTCTCCACCATCTCAAAAACACACGTCCTTCCGTTGTCTGTGACCTTGCACAAACTCCAGTGCGCTCAGTGGTCCCACTTGTATAATATGAGACGACCTCGGTATTATTTTGATACCACAAGATGACCAACAAATACAACCTATTACAATCCTCGATTGCCATCTTATATTTGGCGTGCGGGGGGATCTAACCTAGTAACTGTCATGGAGTCTTCCTGTGGTGGTGATAACAGTCAACAGCGACTCAACGCCACACTACATCTTCATTAGCCTTCAAGAAAGATTCTGACGCTTTCATTAAACATTTCACCGCTGCTTGTGTTAGCTGCTATGAGGGGATACGAATCTAGTCTTTAACATTGAATTTACATTTGCTGAAGAAAACACACCGCAGTTGGAGCCGGAGATATACCTGGTCAAGTTCATTGTTTTTAAATTATATGTGCATACACTCAACTTGGATACTTGAGATATGTACTATGGACTGTCAAAACAGCTTGAAATGGTGATATGAAATGTAGGTTTCCAGTGTATTTTGCGAATATTGATGGATTATCCACTGCTTCCGATGGTATTTTCTGCCTAAGTGATTGCGCCGCTAGTCCTGCGTTATTACGTGAATCTGTTTTCAAAGATCTCCATAGTGGACATTTCGGTGTTGCGGAAATAAAGTCTTTGGCAATACTCACATATTTTTGAACGGTGATACACCCACATATATGACGCACAGTGAAAATTGTCAATCGTCATAGGTCGAAAATCCATCCTTCAAAACCGACTCAAAAGCCATTATCATCTGAGGTTCAGTAGAGCATTCATCCAGAATATTGCGGGCCGTTTTTCGGCAAATACTACTCATCTGTGATCATAGATTCTGTTCATAGGTTTTCTGGAATTTTTTCACGAGTGCTGATTTTTTCATACATTTTTATTTTTGCTCATTGTTTTCTCCTTAACGTCGGACTGGTATACGCGGGACTATCAGAGTGCATTTCAAATTATTCAGGTGTTACTAGTTGGCCTCGTTCATTCCATTATTTTAGATGATCGCACACGCACAAATACGCATAAATGCTGTGAATTTACACAGGCTAAGCAATAACAGACTGTAATGGATATACTCGTTGCAGATATATTTGTGTATGGAATAGTGAACAGTCCTATGACTGTCAAATACTCTTCAGACATTGTTGTTATATGATGAAATTAATGTCATCTTATGCAAATGATTATTATAGTTATTTCAAATTCATTTTCGTCTATAAATGAAACTCAAGTGTAGGGAGAACATACAAGCATAAGAGAAATGATTCTTGTCACAAACGTTTTGTTTGGTGGGATGCGTACAATTGTTTGACGCTTACTGTGACCTTACACATTCGGACGATGTAATTAGTAAATTGAATTCTAGTCTTTTCAAAACACTTTAAGGGATAAGAATGTCAAGATGAACAGGAAAAAAGTGCACCCAAAAGTAACCGGCTCATAAAACATGTGTCAATTCGTAACCACGAAACAAAAATATAATATCAGACACTAAGTCTGATTCCTCTTATCATTAAGGACACTATATGTGGACACCGATCTATCAAGTCATCTTTACTCAAAAACACTAGGCAGCAATAACCTTAATGTAAGTAAACGCAATACAAAGACTAGGCTGACAACAAGAAAGTCATTCCACGGTTGAACCCACAATTGTCCAATTCGCAATCTGTAATCGCTTAAGACATTCCTCATCATCATATCAATTTTTTACCGCTTAATTACAACTATTCTAGCTCTGTGTCAAATCGATATATACACTTCTAATGCCTTCATCAAAGTACCGAGTGCTTCGGTCCACGGAAAGCCCTCGTTCCTCCTGCTCTGTTACCCGTTCAGACTATAGCCCGAGACGGTCCGACACTCAAAAACAAAACTATAGCCTGATAGAGAATAAATCACGCAACATCGATACGGATATGAATATTTGTGTTAAACAATATTACTTCACTTTAAAACTAACTGCATGTCATCGAACACTCACTTCTGAATAGAGTTTTGCCAATAAAAACC